TGGAACACGTTCGTCGGCGTCGACAAGCTTGGAAGAATCAGTAAAAGAATCTGTCGAATTGCGAGAAGAGGTTCGTTATTCAAATTCCAGTCTATTCAATTCCCAGTACAATGAAGGATTGATGACTTCTTAGGTGGAACGTCTGCAGAATGTAGAGAAACTGCTCAATGAGCGGATTATGTGTCTAGAAGATCAGCTGCTTGAAGTAGAAGAAAAGTTCCAGGAAGTCGAGGAGGAATGCCTTAGTGAAAAGAAGAAAGTGGAGGCGTTGGAAGCCGAGAAAGTCTCTACCGCAAGAGAAGTGGAGCAGGCCAATGTGTCTGTACAGAGTACCAGTGGCGATGGTAGTCAGTGGGGACTCAGCGATAGGGTGGATTCCGCCATGGAAAGTGACCTTCAGCAACAGTTGGAAGCGGCCAGAGATGAAGTGCTAATTCTTCAGAAAGAGCTGGACGAGGCACGTAGACAATTAGTCCTGAAAACGTCGGGGGAGGACGGTTGGGGCTTCGAAGGGTCGGGCAGTGGTGCACAGTCTGCTCAGGCCGAAAATCGAATTGTCACGTGTGAAAGAAGAACTGGAAGAGGTCAGAAAGCAATTGGCTCTGCAGAAGCAAGTCCAACGTGAACGCGAATCTTCTGAAATGATGGAACGCATATTCGTGAGAAAGAACGAAAATTGAAGGCGAGTTGAAAGCAGTAAGAAAAGAACTCGAGGAACTCCAGAATGAAAGAGACGCGTTGTTTGCAGGCGGAGACCGGCCAGATGAGGAATGGGGTTGGGGTGGTGCGCAACCTCAAAACACATCCGAGATCTCTGCCCTGCGCCAAAAACTCCTGGAAATGGAAAAGATTGAGCGTGAGCAGCAGGAAACGATACGAAAACAGGAAGCCAAAATTAGTGCTCTGGAAGAGGAACTGAGCACTGCTGATACATGCCGTGAAGAGTTAGAGGACGCTTCACAACAGGTCAACGAGCTGCAAAAAGAATTGAGAGAGGTTGGTGAAGTTTCGTGAGGAAGTCCTTGTCAGTTAAGTTCTTTGGGACGGGCTTGTAGTTTTACGGGAATGGCCCTACGAGTAGTGATTAACGGTCAAGATAAACAGGTCAAATGCCAAAGAGAGCAGATTGGAGAGGCGGAGGGTCGGGGCTTCGGAGCCGGCTATAGTGAAATTTTCAAGCTTTGGAGTCGCCGCATTTGATTCAGCTCCACCTGGGGCAGGAAAGGGTCATATTGAAGAAGAGCTTTCCGCCTCGCGATGGTGGACCCTGGCCGTACAGCACTCCACAATACATTAGAGAACTAATTTAAGAACCCCTGATGCTTTCAACTCTGGAACTGGAACCATGTCTCAAAAGATTGTGGTGTGTTTTTTGGTTTTTTTTTTTTCTTCGAAGCCGCTACCGCTTTAGCACCGTTGGCTACATTATTGAGTGAGGTACATCGTAGCGAAGCTATCTTGGATGGTCATGAACCTTTTAATGGCGCATCTATCCACTCTTAACGTTGATTAAATAAGGTAGGATGTTCAAATCGAATGGAAGCTAAAGCCGTTTTTCAGAGGCAGAAGGTGGTGTAGGTCGTGGTCAAGTGACACGGCTTACAAGGGAGGTGTTTCAGGTCATGACGCGCTTTTTGGAAATGGTTTGTTGCTTGTTGTAGGGGTCCATACAAGGGTCACAAAAATGGGTTTCATTTTTGCTATGCGTTTCTGGGTAGGTCAAAAACTCAGTGAAAAGAATTTGACAAGAATGGGCGGATTTAACAACCTTAATGGGCTCCCTTTCTGCTTCTAACTTCGAGCATGCATAGTTTGTGAGGTGGTCACTGATTTAGGCCCTCAAAATTGGGCTTGTCGCATTTATGGCATAAATGTATCATGTGGTAACACACTTGGCATGCACCGACGCAAGAGTGATGTTTTTGTCAGCAAACCCTTCACCACCACTGCAAACGGATCGGATGGCGCAGTGGATAACACGACGGGTTCTGGATGGCACGGCAAGGGGCACTTTGTGGATCGGATCCTTCTCGCGGAGCACTTTGTGGATCGGATCCTTCTCGCGGAAAATGTTTTGCATTTTTCAGCTTTCCATTCATTCGCGTGCCTGTGTGTCTGGCAGTAGAAATAAGTCAAGTATATGCCATTTGAAGGCATATACTTGTGGCCACATTGTGGCCAGAAAGCGTGCTTGTGCTGCCCCTCGTAGTTCATGTCAGAAGGGTTATTGCAATGAAATACCATCACATTTATGTTCAGCGGGTTGGATTACCCCTGGGGACTAATTTCTAGCCAAGTCTGACGTTTCGACCTTACTTGGAAAATGTGGGCCATTCTATGGACATTTGGCAGCAGGCGGGGTCCACCCACCATGGATGACTGGTCTTCATGCTATTTCTTCGGTAATCAGGAAAATGAATGCCGGCGGCCATGCAGGGGGCTCATACAAGTGAGCCAGGTATTGTTCTTTGCGAAAAGACATGACTGAAGGGTTATTTCAGTGCAAAGACCAGTCATCACCAGTATGCTAGTCGGATTATTGGCTATCATCCAGGCGCGACCATCTCTACCCCATTTTTTCGAAGTTGAGTCAGAACCTCGGATTTCCTCAAGGTTTCTTTTCTAGAGGTTGTTTGACCCCCTGAACACGAATATGATATCTATTTCGCACGGAGAGAGCTGTGAGTCGCGCTACAGGTGCAAATTCACTGCGCCAGCCCACCCGCAAGAAGAAAAACAGCGAAGGAAAACCTATATAAGTCCGCTCAGAGAATCGTTCCGCAAATTTTAAAGGTAGTTTCGAGTTCATTGTGTCAAGACGAGTACAATGATATGCACTCACTGCAAATGGCCAGGCTGTCCTATTGGCCTTTCCTGGATGACACCTTACAAACCAGCACAGTTGTGTGGAGAACCTTGTTTCCGGAAATGTTCACGTCTCGTTGCGTTGATACAGATGCAAAACTGCTGCCGCAATGAGGATCCGAACCGAGTCCCGCATTGTCGTGCCATACAGAACCCATCGTGCTATCCGCTACGCCATCTGATCCGCAAGCAATGGTCATGAAGGGAGCGCTGACAAAAACATCACTCTTGCGTCGGTGCATGCCAAGTGTGTTACCACATGATACTTACATTTTGACTTTAATCGAATCTATTTTGAGGCCTAATTAGTGACCACCTCATAAACTATGCATGCTCGAAGTTACAAGCAGAAAGGAGCCCATTAAGGTTGTTAAATCCGCCCATTCTTGTCAAATTCTTTTCACTGAGTTTTGACCTACCCAGAAACGCATAGCAAAAATGAAACCCATTTTTGTGACCCTTGTATGGACCCCTACAACAAGCAATAAACCATTTCCAAAAAGCGCGTCATGACCTGAAACACCTCCCTTGTTAGAACGCGCTAGCGGTCGGGGCATAAAAGTTTGGGTTATCGGCCTCCCGCCCAGTAGCGAACGGAGCCTTCTTCCTCGCCCCCCCCCACCCTTCCTCCTTCTCTTGCCGCTATCAGTCCGTCTGGGAAGATAAGAACACTGATTTGTACAACGGCTGGCCTCGCAAGGCAAGTGGTACAGGTCCCATCGCATTCAGTAAGCCGGTTTGAGTCCAGATGTACTCACTGACAGAAATTTCAGATGAAAAAGCAAGCCCAGCTACACACTGAAGAGCAGCAACGTTTGAATGCTAGAATTGCTGAGTTAGAATCGAGAACTGAGAATGCCTGGGGTGACGAGTGGGACACCACGACAACAGCAGCGGCTGAGTATAAGGCGGCCGTTGGTAGAATCACGATCTGAGGTGAGCATTAACTCTCTTTATGTGATAGTGTTATAGGCTGTAGCAATTATTATCATATTCGTCCAGCATAAAAATCCCGCTTACAGGCTTATCAAAGAATTGCCGAGTTAGAACTGCAAGTCGGGCAGAAAGTTTGTGCTCTTGTGGACGCCGAGAAGGAATTGACAGTGTTACGAGAACGTTTCGAGAAGATCGCAACTGAGAAGTCTGACCTGCAGGTAATTCTTCAAGACTCTTCAGGGAATGACGTTGGCGGCAGTGCACAGCGCGGTCATAGCTGTGCTTTTTTATGTGGTTGTAGTGCAGTGCCTCCTTCAAGTGACGTAAAATGGCTGTGCTAGTGCACGCGAGTCGCTCACGGCTTAGAGGGAGTGGTCACGATTGGTGAAGGCGGACGGTATTGTCCCAGCTCATTTGGTGGGGTGGCTGAAGAGGGCGTTTACTTCCACTTTCACTCAGACCTTCCACATGGCGTGTTAGCGCACAACCGCCCCGCCAGAATTTTTCTTACGCGGGTTTGCTAGCAGTTTTCAATATGCAGCACGACAGCACGGCTTTTCTATCTTGCAAAACATTGCTCACTCGAGTATGTACCGGTCTCTTCATTGGCAGACCGGTGCGGGCGGCTGTGTATGAGCCGCGCTGCGCGGGGGGCATGCACCCACCGGTCTGCAATTGAATGAGCCGACGGTACAATCTGGTTCGCTGTGGCATGAAGGCAAGCGGGGGGCGGTGATGCGACAACAGTTGTTTGAAAAACGCACTAATACGAACGATATGTCACAGTCCTATTCGCTTGCTTCGTTTCAACAACTGGTTGGAAAGTGTGTATGGTCCGTGCCGCCAGGACCCATACGCCTGACATGCCCCTTCAACGGCAGCCGAACTGGCTTGATCGCTTGTTCTTTTGGCCCAAAAAAGGACACATTCACTTCTTTGATTATTGTATTTAATTCAAAGATATTTAGACGACGCTTCTGAGGAATCCACTTCCGATGAACATTCAACGAGAAGTGCTACGAGTAAAATTTTTTTTCTCTTCATTATGGAAAGCAAGCTTCGAATACACAAGCGATGAAGAAACAACATTAAAGAATTTATGTATTAGCTTCCTTGTCTTCATTAGACTCTAGAGGTAGCTCTGCGTGCACTTGATTTAGATACATTTCTTGGACGTGATTGTCCTGTCCGCAAGCAGGGAGGGTGTACCACTTTCAGGCACCGCCCCGCCCACTGGCCATTGCAACGCCCAGTTTTGATCCTTGAGGCTTAGTGGTGATGGCTTATTTCCTACTCTCGCCCTTTCGAATAGTGAGAGTGGAGCGGGCTGAGTGGCAGGAGAAAAGCGACTGACATCAACCAAGGAAGAAGTCGTTCGACCACTTCCTTTCTTCGCTTTATGCACGTGCAAGCGCGGTTCAGCGCAGGGACTGTGTACAAGGCATGACGGCGGGCTCTTTCTGCTTTTTTTTGTTCACTATTGTGTTAGTTATCACCCTGTCTGTCCTGTCATTAATATTCATCCTCACAGCACGCCAATTTTGTGCGTTCAAAAATGAAAAGGCGGAAGACGCTTCCAACGGGTTGTAGTGTCAGAACACTACGCAGTGAGAGCTGCCCAAATTCATCCAAAAGCTAAGCTAACATTTTTGCCAGTGGACAAACATCATTTTCATATAATATGGATTATTGGCGGATTTCCCCCCGCGTCTCTGAATGCAGGCGCTTACGAGAAATTGGAAGTGCATAAAACGCAAAAACGCGTAAAATTAGCTAACTGATCGTTTTTCAGGCGGAGGCCGAGCTGGAAGCAGAGCGTCAGCGAAGGGAGGAAGCCGAGGCCTTGGCGGACAATTTGCGACGAGTTGCTGCCACTCTAAGAACACAGGTGAGCGTTGTTCCGCTTTCACGGGTATGGGCCATTCTCCTGGTAATACCTGATGATTTACTGCTTATGAAGCGGTGAGGTAAGCACAACCCACACTGGCTGATGCATCGGCCCTGTTTCTTTATACACTTCGATGCGACTGTAATGGATAGGCAGCGTTCATTACTTCGCCGACGGCAGCGCCTTCGGGTCCGCGCATTCGACGGTAAATGCGCATGCTTCAGACTGCATCGATCGCGTCGAACGCGCGACAGCGGCGCCGAAGTCGCGAAGTGTGAACGCTGCCATACTTTGCCGATAGTGAATAGATTCAGTGGCAGCTTGTATCTGATTCTCTGAGGAGGGACTGAGTCCCGCGCCGACTGAGTTTGGCACGGCGCCAGTACGTTTCTTCTTTTTTTCGCAATCAATGAGGCTGTATCATATCGTTCGTACCAGCCGTTTTTCACCAGTTGTTGGTCACTTACCTGCCTGAACAACTGACGGAGAAAGGATTTGGCGACGTGCCAACGCAGCCGTGCGGACATGCCCCATCTTACGCGCGCGAACCCTGCCATTGGAGCACCCTCTTAATTTGCTACTGATTAACTATTGTAATTAATTGATCCGGTGTGAAAACGAATGCCCCGTGCTAGTTCGTTTGTAAACGCGGGCCGCGCCCATTAAATTAAATGCCGCAAGCATAAGTGCTGCGACATTTCAAGAGGCGTTGCAATTTTTTATCACAAACTTCTTTCTTCATTGTGAGAACGAGTTTTCCAGGTTGACGAACTGCAAGAAAAGCTGCTTCTCGAAGCTGAATCTGCAGAGGCGAAGCAAAATCAGCTCACTCAATTAACAGCCGAGAATGAGCGCCTTCGAACGGCAGTAGCATCACGCACGGAATTGGTAGAGGCTGAGCATCAGCGAAGTGAGTCGGAGCTGGAGACGTTGTGCGACGAGCGTCGGACGAATCCAGACGAGCGCTTGAAAAGCGCTGAGAACGAGAAGATCCGTCTAGAAGAGCAATTGCTGGCGTGTGAGATGAAATGCGATGATCTGAAGATTGAGCTGCAGCTGCAGAAGGCGAACAACTCAGAACTGACAGAGATGCACAATGAGGCTAACAGACGTTGCGAGGATGCACAAGCAACACTTCAGGTATCGAAACAGCTGACAACCAGGACAGATGTCGTTTAAGGCATCCTTGTTGCGACGTAGCGAGGAAACTATCAAAGTAGCCCTTGGCTAGTTGCCCTACGTGCGATAGCACTTCGACGTTGAGTCGCATTTAGGTCTTACAGGCGCGCGTGCGCAATTTTTGCAGCGTTGTCTTCGCCCGCGTTGCGCAACATGGAATGTCTGACCATCGATTCAGCCCGCGGCGTCCGAAAATAACCATTTGTAGACTGTCGAAGCCGAAAACATGGCATTGATTGAACGTTTGGCGAAAGCTAAAGAAGAACTGGAGGACGTGAAGGTTCAGCTGCGTGCGAGAATCACACAGGATGAGGTACGTTTCGTGTTTCGTGAGTCCGTCCCTGTGTAGCACCACTTCGCTCTTTCCTGGCCCAATGCGCCATCAGACGGTAGGCGGCTACCGGCGAGGTTCAACGAAAAAGAGCATATTCCTTGAGCTTGTGTGCTTGAGCGAGGCTATTAGCTTGAGTTAAGCTAAGCGCCATTTTGGTGGAGATAACCGTTTCCCGCTTCTAACTTGCGTCGCGGGCATGTCTTCGAAAGAGATATTACTATATTGCCGTAGAAAAAACTCGTAGAAGAAACGAGCCTTCTGCCCGTGGACGGCGTTTGCTTTCATGGACTACAGGGTAGAGCAGGGCATTTTATTGCTGATCTTTGACCGTTCTTGCACTGTTTTTTAGGCGCTTTTTACTTTTTACTTCCTCAATCTTCCGAAAAACTAGACCAATTCACCCACGTTTTTTTTTCTTGGAAGGCAGATTTCTGAAGACTCTTGAACACGAATACCTCACCTAGAGGGTTAGAAACCGCGTGACGCCCGCATTTATAGGCGACGGGCACAAATGCCTGTTTTGATCCAGTTCGGCTTCAGGCGGATTTCGTGCCAAGCAGTTTGTGGACGAGCAAAAGCAGGTCGCGCAGTCTCGTGCACCACCTTTCCCCATTCTTAACTCCATTGGCATCCCGAATGTTTGTGTTCAGGAGGTGAGACTGACCTTTGGAAGGAGTTTTCAGCAAACTTGGCGATTTGGGGCGCCGGCGGCTGTGGCGCGGCAGCCAGGCGAGTTGGCTGTGCGCTCGTGCGATATTCGTAGCTAGGGGACTAGTTTCCAGACAGATCGAATTTCTGACCCGAGCTTTAAAACTGGGCAGTAAAGGATAAATACAGTGCTTTTCGCCGCCATTCCTCACCTCTCGTATCACAAAACCATAAAGCAGATAACCGCAAGGGGATTCTATGAGCGAATGCCTAAAGAAATGCTTGAATATTTTTTTCCAGAAAGGATGCGTCAGCTGTTCAGCTGACGAAGCCAAACAGAATGCATCTCAGTGCGGAGACATACTGGCAAAGATACTGATGTGAAGTGCCGGACGAGAACTTGGGAGAAAGGGAATTACAGAAACAACCTCCTGAAAGACAGCGAGGCTCGCCTTCTGGACTCAGTTGATGAGTACGGTCTTCAAGCGGAAAAGTGGGTTCAAATCCAATCCTATTGTGTAGTTTGAATAGGCATTTCTAACTGAGAACTTTATTGCAGATATCAACAGGAAGCTGAGCGATTACAACAAGTGGTCAACCGTTTGGAAAAGGAAAGAATGGAGTTAGAAGGGAAAAGTCGAAGAGATGCAAAGAGGCCAAGATCGTCTTAAACAGACTGAGGGACTGCTGGGAGCGATGGAAATGGAAAAGGAAGAACTCGAGAAGCGCGTTTAGCGCAGCAGAGGTAGGGACTTTGGTAGATAGGGACTATGCGTTCCCCCCTCAGTTAGGTGGACGGGTTTTTCTGGGGGGGGGGGGAGTTGAAGACTTTTTCGGAAACAAACCCTGGGAAAGTGGTATTAAGTTGGGGGAGTTCAGGAGGATAGGCAAGGCGAGGGGCGTACTAGAGGCGAAAGTTTGCAGAGAGGAAGGTCGCATTTCGCACATATTCCCCCCCTCCCCCATCAGCAGGACATGCCGTGCTCCTTGTAGATTTTCAGTTCACATTTCAGTGTAATTTTCATATATTATATTTTAGCTCCTCCTCAGCGCCCTCATCTTCGTACGACTCCAGGGAACTTTCCATAGTTGTGAGTTCAATTCCTTTCATCGCCCATATGGGTTGCTTTACCCCAGTAGCGATATCGTAGTCGTTTCTATGCGAAATACAAGTTGGATCCATCTTTCAGAGTAGTCAGCTCGAAGCATTGACGGCTGAAAGAAACGAGCTACGCAGCCGTCTTGAGAACGCGGAATCCCGTCTGAGGGTCTCAGCGCAGGTAAGTGCTGTTCATGATTAGAGCCCATCTGTGATACCCTGTATGGAACAACATTTGGCGCTGTTCGGCTTGAGAGTGGCATTTCACACATCCGCTAGTCTTTTGCTAACGCCAATTGAATATTAAGTCTCATCTTGATGAGACTAGTAGACTTTTGTCAAGTATAAACGAAGCTCCTGTTATTGGATGGCTTTAAGGAAATTAACAGGTCTTCTATGGAGGCATCGGCAGTGATCGATGAGAGCCAGCGAAATACCCAACGAAGCCGAACTGCGCCCAGAATCCTTCAGTTGTTCTTCTTTATAACGGGGGTTCAACCCTATTTGCACTAGATTAGGTCACTATTTCTGAAAAGAGCACCCATTCACATCCAGTCCAAATTAGTGGGTGAAAGTGTGTGAGTGAGTCATTTCTTAGGAAAAACTCGCCATCACTCGTTCGTATGAGCAGCTTCGAGCTCGTCTGGCAGCTCGCCGTCAGAAGTTGGCCTCTTCTGGTGACACGTCGTCGCGACCGTCGTCAGCAGCTATTTCCGAGGAAGATATGTCAGAGGGTCCTCGGCGGATAGAAGAACCTGTACCTTCACAGTCACGGGCGTATGTTCCTCAACAGGTAAGCTCTATTTGTCAATTTTTCTCGATTCAAGAGCATTGCACTTCATGGATAATACCACTGATCGCTAAGGTCAGCGAGGCGTTGTTAGCAAATCGCTAACCACGCCCAGCTTTTCTAGGGTTTATGTCATTTATTGGTAATAACAAGTAACTAACAATAATCTGTTTCGACCCTTTAATGTCAGGGGCGTAGCCTTGTCAATTGCAAATAATTTTTGCTACATAATCCGTCGCTAAGGCTGCGCTCATACTTTGCGCAGCCTCCACCAGCGACCACTAGCGTTGAGATCGTCTGACAGCGTAGCGACTAGGGAAGTGTATTAGGTTGTCCGGAAAGTTCTCAGCGTTTTGAGTGTTTCACTTTAAACGATCATAACTTTCTTAATACTCATCGGATTTAATCGAAATAAGCACC